CCCCGACGCATCCAGTCTGTCTGCTCCCAGAATCCTCCAGGGCCCCACCAGCCTGCTTCTGTCACGACGTCCTTCCAAAGTGCCATCTGGATCGTCTACGGAGCCTTTGTACAGCAAGGTGAGCTGGGTCACGTCACATGAACATGAGGGATGAGGTATTGCTGAATAGTCACCTCACTTGGATGGTGCAATCAGTTGCTGACATTCTCGTCTGCATGCAGGAGCACAGCTAATGCAGCGTTTTAAGACTTTTATTTTAAGAAAATGTCTTTTCAGCAGAATATATAATAAAATATATTATAAATATAACATATAATAATATATATATTATATAAAATATATATATCTTCAAATATTTTACAGCACTAGAGACGTAAAGTCTTGCATTTTGACTGTTTGACAAAATATATTATTCCATAAGAATTCTGTAACTCACAGCTGCATGTGTCTAAAGGTGCCTATGAAGAGAGGAGCGAGTGTGTTTTGTTGAAGTTTTAGATAAATGGCTGCACTTTTCCGTTCTGCGTACTCTGGGTATCTTGTCAATAACGGGCTGACTCTTAAGTGTCTCTGTGCGCTTTCAGATGTAGCAAGTTAGACCAAGATGCAAGCAATTTACAGCAGCTGCTGAATGACAATTACATTTTTTTTCTACAGCTGTTTGCCAATTTGTAATTATTAGCCTTGGACCCATAAATTGATAATGAAACACACTGCGAGTAATTATGAAAATAGGTTTTGCATTTGGGTCACCTTTTTAAATAAACATTTACTTGTCACTTACGAAGGACAACCATATGATAGCAGGTGCGCTATACTGTTCAAATTGTGTCAGGGCTCCTAGTAGCAACCCTTATTAAAAAGTAACACATCATGAGCAAACAGCACTGCTTAACAAGTGTTAGGAGCCTTAAAGGGATAGTTCACTCAAAATTAAAGGGATAGTGACCCAAAAAATTTTTGTATGAACGTTTTTGTATGACCTCTCCCTTTATGATCAAGTAAAATTTTGCTTGTTGTCCATCATCAGTCCTCTCAAGTGGCCAGTGTGACTAGAGATAAAGTAATGTGCAATTACTGTGAAATTTTATTCAGAAAGGATGCATTCAATAAATAAAAAATGACAGTGAGTAAAGACATTTGTAATGTTACAAAATATTTATATTTCAGATAAATGCTGTCCTTCTGAACTTTCTCTTCATCAGATGATACAAAAAAATGTATTTAGCAAAATATTAAGCAGAACCAACATTATCAGCATTAATAATACATTTTTTCTTGAGCAGCAAATCAGCATATATCATAGAATGATTTCTGAAAGATCATATAACACTGAAGAATGGAGTAATGGCTGTTGAAAATTCTGCTTTTTTTAAATTTACAATATTTCACAGTATTTCTCTTTTTACTATATTTTGATCAAATAAATGCAGTCTTGGTGAACATAAGAGACTTCTTTCAAAAGCATAAAAAAATCTTTCCAACCCCAAAGTTTTTTGAATGGTAGTAGCTATTTAATTTCCAGTCATATAAAATTTGGCATATTTTACTTTGCCCTAGAATACATGCTGCTATGTTGTAAATGCAACTAATCATCATTAATTAAATGATTTGTAAATATTTTGTGAAATCCCCTTACTAAACTTACATATTGGTGTGGAGGTGCATGTTTAGAACAAAAATGATTCAAAGATTCAAATTGTCTGGCCATATAAAAAAGCACAAGCACTTTTTTTTCTTGGGAGGTTCAGTTTGAGACTAGTGCACTCTCAACCCTATAATGAGCATGGTTGCCCACTTAACCTTTGACCTTTCCAATTACAGACTCTGTGGATATCCTTTTAGGCCTAAAGGGACATTTCAGATCTCAGATAATTTGGCTCAGAGTCCCAAAAGAAAACTTATAGCCCCTAACGAGCTCCATTGAGCATGATAGCAGCAGATCTTTTCCCTTCTCATTTTATTCTCACCGTCTCTGTGTCAGTGATGACATTTCCAAGGCTGTGTGCGCTGGAGAGGAATATTGTGTTGACATTTTAGCACAGGCTTATAAGGTGTTGAGCTTTTCTGAGAAAAACGGGTGATGGGAGAATGAATCTTATTACATGGCTGCAGTGCTGTGTCACTGCCAAAAAGCAGCAGGAAGAAAAATAATGGAAGGCTGAAATTAGATAAAATCACAGATGGGTTCAGTGATATAGACAAGGGGTCAAGGTTTAGCATGAACCAGTTAGACCCTGCTGTCGAAAAACCCTGCATTTTTCTCCATTCTTTGGGGTTTTTGTGTATCAGTGTATCTTTGAATTGGTGTAAACAATGACAAGCAATCCGCATAGAATGTTTTCTCTTCTTCCTTGTGTTTGCAGGTGGTGAATCCTTCATGAGTTCAATGGCTCTCAGGATTGCAATGGGAAGCTGGTGGCTGTTTACCCTCATTGTCTGTTCGTCCTACACAGCCAACCTGGCAGCCTACCTCACCGTATCCCGCATGGACAACGCTGTTCGGTAAGCTAACTAGTCCAGCTCTGTGTCTCAGTGCCAGAACTCCACACATCTGCAGATGCTTGTCCATATGCAGGCTTGTAAACCCTGACTCAACACGCTGTTGACCACATGGTGTGTTATAGAACCTTATTAGAGCTGTCACATCTCTAAACGTAGCTCCAGGTTAGCATATCACGTCACTGGGTTGCATTCATTAGCATCAGATTAGGGTCTGCACAACTGCTCATTTTTACTAGTTGACTAGTCATTCAGAAAAGCAGTTGATTAGTCTGTCGGACAATGTTTATCTTATGTAAATGGATCACAATGCACCATGCCATTTCAGCAAAGTTCAACACTGGGTTACCGGTGTACGCGGGGTGAGAAAGTGTCTGCTAGTTGATGTGGGATAGAGAACACGAAAATGTGTGTATCTTCTTTATTACATGGCTGCAGTCCAGTGTCACTGCCAAAAAGCAGCAGTAAGGAACATAAAGGAGGAAAAATTAGATAAAATCACAGAGGGGTTCAGTGATATAGATAAGGGGTCCACGTGAGGCATTTAGCCAAATGCTGTACTGAAAATCATGTTTTTCTATAATTTACTTAAAATATCAAGCACGTTTGATATTCTTCGACTGGATGGATTCAGATTCCCATCATACACTGCACTATTTTTTGTAAAATATCAGTTAAAATCTGCAATCTGGCTCTGACTTTAGGCAACTAACATCAACTTGTAAATCAGGGCAAAAACCTGGGCAAAATTCATAGTGTTCAAGCTTTAAATATATTTTTTGGGTGGTTATTTATGAGAATTTTGGCTTGTATGTGAATATGCTTAATGAACACAAAGCTCTCTAGTTTCATTTTATTTTTAACATTGCATAATAACAGTTCTGTTGTCACTATATAAAATCTACTATTTAGTCATTTGAAGGGGAAACGAATAATTGATACTGACCCAACGTGACAAAACTAGTAACTCTGAATTTTCAAGGCATAGAGGAAGTAAGTCTAAAATTGAAAGTAGTAACATTATGAGTCGACTAAAAGCTTCATATTTCTTCAAATTAATTCTGAAATCACAGCATGCAGGCTGTCTCTTAGAGACCACGTTGGTCCTTCACTTCCCAGCAGGGAGCTCACAGTTCCTGACATTCTCCATAAATTCCACGAAAGGTCGCTTCATATTAAAATCCTTTCTTTTTTTTCCTTTGTGTAGACACCAGAACCTTTTCTCCTCCTTTTATGTGTTCTAGGTGTTTTGTCAATGCAGGCTGCTCACACTTCAGAGAAATCTCATGCACTTGTTGTTATAAACACACAGGTCTTTTTATATTTATATATACACCGCTTACAACTGTCAGATAGCACAAACAACGCGCCACAAAAGAGCTGCAGTGATTCTTTTCTTTCTCCCTCACTATAGAAGAATAATTGCATTGTCAGAGCAGAAATAAATGCTGTTTCCACTTTAAAACCTCCCTCTTATTTGACTATGAGAGTTGTTTTATATAAACCGGTAATGCCCTACCTGATGTGCAAATAGTTTCCTCCTGCCTCTGTAAATGTTATCTGCCTGCTCATTGAATTCGGCCCTCTCAGCTCAGCTTAAAACCCAAGACCGGAGAAGCTTACTGCATTCTGTCTCTCTGAATTCTGACTATATACTCCTGGCGGACCTGTTAGTTCACCAGCGAAATGCCTCACACCGTTTGCCCAAAGGTTCAGCTTTAGAACATTAAAGGAGAGTTTGGTGCCGTCACATTTCTTATTCAGCTCTTGTGAGTATGTGTGTGTTTGTGTGTTGAGGCTCTGGGGGATTATTTCTTCCATCTATCAGTGGCAGCATCCACAGCTGCTATGGTTGTGCTAATCACCTTGTTTGTAACTGTTATTAAAATCAGGCAGCCCTGCTGGTGCATGATACGGTATCGTTAGCACACTGGGAGCCCACTGGGAGTCTTTCATATCTCTCACCAGCCTTAGATGTAAAATGGGATTCAGGCTTGACAAACGTTGTGTTCAGTCCTGAGGTTCCCAAATGCTCGGCTTCACTCTGCCAGTGGGCTGTGATTGGCTGATGGAAGTGATGGAAGCATCCAAAGTGCTGTCGAATTTGTATGCTATAAAAATCATTGAATGTGTAATTTTGCTTATAAAATATAGGTCTACTATTTTGCATTGTGTTTGTAAATTGTTTGTAAACTATCTTGTGAGCATTTAGTGAACCCTTTTAATTTGCATGATATATGAAGGGGTTACTTTTTTTTTGGCTTCAGAACACATAATTAAGCCTGAGTGTGGTTTAATACAGCACCATATTTCTATGCTTAGTTGGATGTAGGGCATCTAGAACATTCTCATACAAAACAAAAACAAGACAATGGATCACATCCAAATTCATTTCCCCATTACGGCTAATAATACCTTTTATAGAGCACCTCTATTGATTTGTCCTGCAGAGGCCGGCTGAAAGAATCTCAGAGGCATGGAGTTTGTACTTACCTGCTAGGTATCCTGGGAAATTGCATTACATGTTTAGGACTGTCAGTTGATTTAACATTTTACATAATATGCTGATTAATTGATGAAATTGATTGCAAATTGAAACATACATATCAATATCTGCTTATAAAAAATCTAATTAAGATTATTTAAACACTTATATTTGAGACTTATTTTTACAATGTTTTTTACAATGATTTTTTTATCAGATTTATTTGTATTGCCGTTTTATTGCAGTTATATTATATATGTGCTGTTCTAACACATTTCCCCCAAGAGGACAATAAAAGTATATTATTAGTATATACTACAGCAGTATTTTAGTATATACAAACATCTTTGGCAATTTTGTAATTTCTTCATCTTTTTTTAGCATCTCACACAATAAGCACATTTTTACTTCAGTGTGTCAAGTTAAAAACACTTCAATGATTAAAAATGCATCCCATGACCCCTGTGCTCATTCTGTTCCGTTCAGTTGCACACTGTCTAGTTGTTTTTGAATGCAAGAACACGTCTTATGTTAACAGCTCATTACTCATTCTTTGCTACCTACTCTCAATAAGTGTGGTTTGGTGAAGAGTGTTGTCTATAGTAGCATGTGGATCACGAGTCATAATTAAATCTATGGGTTTTTTAACACATTATTATTTTTAAAAGTAATTGTAAGTCTCACTCCATAAGACGTCAAGTTGCTTTAAGGTAATTTAACCTAGGTGTGGTGGTCATTAACTAGACCTTTATAAATGTTTTTTTTTTTAACCACCAGCCACAAACAGCACAATGGAGACGGTGACCTCATATATGCCATCTCTATAGTTTTCACTATAGGCACTAGGCAGACTATAAACGTCATTCTGTTTGCACAAGAACCAGTGGAAAACAGGAACTTAGAAATTGGGTTGCTCAATCCATGTTTTGTCAACTGAACCCCAACAAGTATATTAATAGCTTATCTCATCTCAGTTTAATGATGGTGCATCTGTCCACATGGGTCAAATTAGAGACCAAATTAGGCTCAATAGCTGGCATGTTTTTAATATGTTAAAACCTGAAAAAAATTGAATTGCTAATGACACTGATGTACACTGCAGTTCATTTTAAATGTTTTTGAAAGAAGTCTAATGCTTACCAAGGCTGATCAAAAAAGCAATGAAATACTAATATTGTAAAATATATTTACAGTTTAAAAGAAGTCCGTTTTATTTGATATTTCAAAATGTAATTTATTCCTGTGATAGAAAAGCTAAATTTTCAGCATTCATTACTTCAGTCTTCAGTGTCACATGATCCTTCAGAAATCATTCTAATGTGCTGATTTGGTGCACAAGATACCGTTTTATTATTATCAGAGTTGAAAACATTGTGCTGCTTTGCTTTCCTTATTAATTAATTAATTTATTTATTATTTAACAATGATATATTTTTCAAGATTTTTTGATGAGTGGAAAGTTTAAAAGAACAGTATATATTTGAATAGAATAGAATATAATATAAATATCTTTTTTTTGTAACATTATAAGTGTATAAAATCTTTTTTCAAAAATCCTTTTGAAAGGTTGAATGTTAAATCTTGAATGAAACAATAAACTGCTTTGCCACAGCTTTCAAAAGAAATGTTCAATTTCAGAACTGCAACATTTTTCAGGAAAGTTGAAACTCTACAAAAGCTGCTCAGCAGGGTTTGGAGAATAAATGACTATATCATGAATACAATGAGATGACACCATGCGTTACATATTTCCATAGGTTTTTTTTCTCTCCTCCAGCTGTGGCAGTATCACTATAATTAAACTGATTAATTGTTCTGATTTTATCTTCTCAAGATTAACAATCTGACTCATTGAATCTGCAAATAATTGTGCTGTCCTGTTAAATAGCCTTGTCAAGGGTGATGGAAGATGCTTATCTCAACATGAAATCACTCCCCACTAAAACCAGAAGGAGAAGCAACACAGTGTCATTACGTAAGAGGGAAGAGCAGCCGGCTGCCCTAAACATCACATGGACTGCATGACATCGGAAGTTGCAGATGGAAGGCAGCAGCTGTGAGCTGCAAAATCATTTAGAACTGTATTTTGTCAGGGGGAATTTTTTCCCCCAAATTATTCAAATAATTAATGAATGCATCATGTTTATGCATTCATTCATTATTTGAGACAGTTTTAGTGTTGTTGTGTCTAGTCTGCCTTTTCATAAAGGATTGATTGTTGCATGAGCTCTTTTATTGTTTTAATGTGGAGAAGCGTGTATTGTTGCGCCTGTTGGTCTGGCTTCTAACTCGCCTGTACTTGTACAAAAACTGTGATGTTGTTTTTGTTTTGTTTTTTCTAGACCCTTTTAAAGTCTATATTCAGTGTGTGGACAAGAGTTTCTGTGATTGTTATAATCTGGCCACAGCCATCTGAACTGAAAACACATTTCAGAAACCATTTCCACCCTACCAATTGCTGCATATTTATCACAGTTTAAATTTATTAAAGCTTTTCACAATATTTTAAATAACAAAGCAGCCATCCAGCCCACACATAATAAAAGAAAAAAATGCATACTACATGCATACATAAGCAGATGAGCAGATGTAAACCAGCCAAATATTTTCATGCTGTTAGATTGGTACTTACAGAGCCAAGTCAAGCAGTAATGGTAGTGTTAGATAAGAGACTTTCATTAACCCCCATATTACCCTATCGAAATGCAGCGTATCCGTACTCACACCTCTGTGATTCATGAATGCATTTAGGAGGAAAAGTGTCATGGAGAGGTGAAGGACACATCGTCTGTTATGATCTATTTAATTCAATGTTTTTATTTTATTTCAGAGAAGAGAGAGCATGTTGTGAATGTATTTCAGATTCTAAGCTACCTAAAACTATAGACAATAATGAAATAAAAATAAAAAAATTTTTTAAATAAACCGTCTGAACTGCCTTTAAAAAATAAGCAGGTAATTGTATTCTATAGCCTGAGGATATGTGCATAACACCAACACCAGTGCTAAAGATGGACACTTGACATTTGTTTAATTTTGAATCCAGTCTTTTTGCACTAAACCTTTTTTTTTTTTTTTTTACAAATATTTCATTCCATTAATTGTGATTTATTTCCCCTCATTTAATTTCGTTTCTGTTCTTTAAATCTTTACAGTCAGGGTAATAAAGCTTTGCTCACTCTAAGAGAGCCATTAAAAATCAAGTGAAATAATAGTATCTATGTGTGTACACTGTTACATGTTATTCAATTGGCTGAAAAGCACCATATGATATGCCTAAATGGTTGGTTCCAGCGAGAGTAGGATTTTAATTGTTTAATGCTCCTTTCACACTGTTTATGCAGGTTGTGAAATGTACCATTCACAGCTTTTTGTTGTTGTTGTTTGAGGCATATCTAGACCTCCAGATTGTTTAAAAACTAAAATAATAAATCAAATCATCCAGCACATGACAGTGAACACAGTGGCAATTTCACAAACACATTCTGAACATCAGGCATCAATAATTCTTAGCATACAGCATGTTAATTAGATAAATTTGCCTTCTTCCACACTCTGTTGTCATGTCTGTTTTTATTTAATTTTTAATATAATGTACACTTTAAATAATATATGTGACTTGTATATCTTTTATTATTTTTATTCTCAATCCAGAACATTTCAAGACCTTTCCAAGCAGACAGAGCTGAGCTACGGAACGGTGAGAGACTCTGCTGTGTTCGAGTATTTCAGGGTGAAGCCAAACGTATAGATACACTGGTTAATTTAAATAGTGCATACTGCGTGCAATCCGTGCTGTTCAGTCTGAGCTCGGGCCAAACACACATTTGCTCATGTGACGAGGGTGTTTTTTAAGCGCTTTAAGTAAGCCTGGTTTACATAATAAATAATAGTTTGGCATTCAAATACATCGCAAATATGGAAACATTTAATGGATTAATGCCGAATGAGAGAGGTAGGCTGCGTGAGAACGCCGTTTGCTTTCAGTTTCGCATTGAATTAGCCTATTCGTTTTGGCTTGTTTAGCAACTTATATTTTTCATTCTTGTTTTCTTCTGAAACCGTTCAAAATAGCCTATAGGCTAGGTATTGTGTTTATTGTTTGTATATTATAACATTTTGCTTTATTTACCGGTGTTATGCCTACATACCGGTATCTAAATATGATTGTATAATTTTATGCTATATAGACCTACCACATTACCCTCCACTGGATGTAGAATGAGCAGCAATAGACTACATTTTGGCATTTTATAATACTAATGTGGATATTTTGGTGAAAGTAACTCAAAAGTAGTGTAACGCATTACAATTCAGAGACTAAACACACACAGCACATGAAACAGAGGATAAGAGGAGCTATTATTAAACTGAAAATCTCAAACCTTTCAAATCAGCACCAGTCGTGTTAATCAGAGTGGAGAGCTGTCCGTGGTGCTGAATTTCTGCTGTATAGTACTTCGTAAGAGCTGTCCGTGGTTCTGGTAAGAGCTTTTCTGTGCACTACCATGTGCATGAGGCTGGCTGGCTATCGGTGGCTCTTTGTAATCCAAGCATGTCTCACAGAACACAAAAAGAGCCCAGCAGTAAATTGCAGTCTGTTTAGGTTTGAAACAGGACAATTCTGGCATCTTGCATCATTAAAGAGAGAAAGGGAAATGTAGCATGCAAATCTGACAGAAAACATGACAAAACTGCTTTAGACTATCAAGATAAATATTCATGGCTCAGACAATGTAATATCCATCCATACTGTGCGAGTCATAAAAATTATTAATATGCTGCTGAATGCATTCATGTATTTGTGCTTGTTTGGTAAAACTTTCAAAGTCACTTTGTATACAAACTGTTGCTGATGTCAAGTGAATCTTTTAAGACACTTGATATCCACATCAAACCCTTTGATAAAACTTCAAAAAATTGCAGGTATTGAATTTCACAGCTCGTCTTATTGTGGCATATCCACTGGCATGCTTTTTGCAGGAGACATCACCAAACCATGAATCTCTTTATGAGAGTTTTTCAGCCCAGTTACATAACTGGCTATTAAGCTAGCAATTCAGCATTCTCAGAATTGATTTCTTAAGCAGAATAATGAAAAGAGATAAGACACAGAGAAATTGAGGCCTGTACGGTTGCACCCACGCACTTTGGATGGTGTTGAATAGTGCTATTTTCAGGCCATCCATGCTGAAGTGTTTAATTACCAGTAATTGCCCAACAGATTCACATATATACGAGTGTTTCTTCAACTGTGGCCACTTTTGTCCCTGTGGGTTAGAAAATAAATTATCTTACAGCAAACATTTCACACCCTCACTAGAATAATTCGTTTGCTAACAATGCCCAGTAGTGTATGGACATTTGTCCTTGGAGAATTTTGTCATTTTATGTCTTTTTTTCCCCCCTAAAAGTGGAAATAACCAATAGACAGTATAGCATAATTTCCCGTTTTAAATTGTAATATATATATATTATATGGGGGTATTACCAGCAGATTTCTTGATAATCCACTGCTGTTCAAAGGTTTGGGATTTTTAATGTTTTTGAAAAAAAAAGTATCTTATGCTCTGCATTTATTTAATAAAAATTACACTAATAGAGTAAAAGCTAGAATTAGACTAGAATTTAAATGAACTGTTTTCTATTTTAATATATTTTCAAATGTAATTTATTCCTGTGATGGCAAAGCTGAAGTATTCAGCTTCAAGTGATCCTTCAGAAATCATTCTAATCATTTGGTGCTCAATAAACATTTCTTATTGTTATCAATGTTGAAAACAGTTTTTGCTGCTTAATATTTTGAAACCATGACACACTACAATTCAAAAGTTTGTGGAAAGAAAAAAAGTAAGAAAATTGAACATTAACCCTTTTATTTATGAAAGATGCATTAAATTACATTTATGTAACAAAAGATTTATATTTGAAATAAAAATGCTGTTCTTTTGAAATTTCTACTCATCAAAGAATCCCCCCCAAAATTATTATGGTTTCCACAAAAATATTAAGCAGCAAAAACTGTTTTCGTCATTGATGATGATGATGATAATAATAAGAACTATTACTAATAACTAAGCCCCAATAATAATTGATAATAACTGAGCAGCAGATCAGCATATTAGAATAATTTCTGAAGGATCATGTGACACTGAAGGGAAATGGCTGCTGAAAATTCAGCTTTGTCATCACAGGAATAAATTACATTTTAAAATACATTCCACTTGTTTACCTTTGATAGATTTGATATCAATGCTTTAATAGGTTGAGAGTATCCAAATCTTCCTAATGGATGTACACTTGAAAGACAAACTGTAAATTTAATTTCAGGCAGTGACGGATATTTGTAGTACTTCACAAAGAGATAGGGAAAATTTCATGTTTATATGGAAGAGCCAGGAGATGATAGCTTCTTTGTCATTTCTTCTTTGACATCCTTTTTTTCCTTTGTACTTGTCATATGAAAGTTTGTCATAACCATGTGGTTGCGATAGAGCCTGAGTTTAAAAGAAACAGAAAAGAAAGCGGACGCTTGTGCTGCTTTATTTAGTGTGGTGGGGGAGGGGTAAAGCCATTTTCCCAAGAGAGAGTGAAATCTCTTGAAAAAGGAAGCGGGGGAGGCTAGTTTCCAGACAAGAAACAAGTTCAAAGCCATCTCATGACTTTCAGTGAAATATAAACACCTTTCATTTTGAATGATGTCTGTGACCTGTCTGACAAGAACTGAGTGACTGAAAGGAGAAGCTCTCCATCTTAAGATAACCTCCGGATTTGTTTACGTTACTATTATCAAAAACACAAAACCCTGCCGTAATGTTCAGCCATACATGGGCAAATTAAACACTGAACCATGTGTGTGTGTGTGTGTGTGTGTGTGTGTGTGTGTGTGTGTTTTCTCTCAGGTGAAGCGGGATCCGTACGCCTTCCTGTGGGACATGGCGGTGTTAGAGTACGCCGCTCTGACAGATGATGATTGTACGCTGGTGGTCACAGGAAACAGCATAAGCAGCAAAGGATACGGCCTGGCTCTGCAGCACGGCAGCCCCTACAGAGATCTCTTCTCGCAGAAGTGAGCGAGTGTATATGTGCAATATGATCAGAAAGAATGATACAAGTCGCTAAACTAGCAGAAGGAGACACCATCATTTCAATCATTTTAAGTCAATATCAAGCTCCAAAGCTTCGCAAACATCACACTGCGTGACTGTGATGGATTGTTTCCCTTTTTCTTTCATCATCTGTCCTTTCTCTCATTTACATTACATTTATTTCCTTGGCAGACGCAGTCTTGCCAGAGAACCCATGAATCGTGTTGAATCACCAGTGTCTGCTTCTCGGTGCATTTATCTTCATTCCCACCCATCCTTTCTTCTCTCCACTGGCTTTAAAGCACCTCACCCTGCAGCCCTTCATTTGTTTGACTATAATTTGCATTCATATTTTCAGCTCGTACCGACGCTCTGCTCACATACTAATTAGCTTTAGGGAGGTAAGCTCGCCGGCAATTAATAATTCACATATCAGGAACATCAAGGCCTCGAAATGCATTTTCATGAAGGATCCTCTACAATCACCTTTCAGTCTGTTATGGGGAATTAGAATCAAACATGTTTTAAATTAATACCCAGGACGATTGCAGTTGAACAGACTTTATTTTTCAACCTTTGACATTTTCGTTTCTATCATTAGTTATTGACCTTTTCCACTGGATTCTTTACAAATGCGTCCACTTTCTGAACGTCTGCTGCATTGAAATGTATAACTACTAAGAAAACTTGTTAATGAATAAAGAGAAAGTAAATTAATAAGACTCTATAAAAGACCAAATGTTCATTGTTACTGCTGAAGTGATTTTTTTTTTCAATGATTTACAAAAGTTTGTCAACACTATTTAAGGACCTTTTATCGCTGCCTTTTAATTGAGGAGATAATTGCCTCACTTTTTACATTTGAAAACCAGAAGCATTATTTTTCCATCATTTGTTTCTTGGTCATGTTCCATGGCACCATGGCCAATAATTGTAATACAGGGGTTGGACAAAATTATGTGTCCAAACAACACAGAACTACTGCAGCAAAGTGACAGAAAACCTCAATATTCACCTTGAAGACCACAAAAACTGACCACAAAGCCAGCATCCATGAAAGAGTTGCAACTGCTAAAACTTTAAGCACAGACACCAATGCTAAAATGCAAAAGATGGTGTCATGATCATAAAACCTGGACAGTTGGAACTCCAAGATGAACTTCAACATCTGCCCTGGCCAGACAAATCACCTGACTTGAATATTATCACACTACTGTGTAGTTTTGATAATAGTTTTGATAGTTGTAGAGAGAAGAGTGAGAAGCGAATTCCATCATCTTTAAAGCAACTGGCAGATGTTTTCATAGACAACATTCAGCTAGAGACTATTCAAAAAGTGTATGAGTCTATTCTAAAACATCTGGAATCTGTATTAAAGGCAGAACACCTGGTAAAACACCTTCAGAAATATTGCTTATTTCCCAGATTTTCATATTATTTTGTCCAACCCTTATATTTGCTTCATTGTCACCTTTGAGTCATATTTTGTTCTGAACTTCCCTCTTGTAATAAAGTTTTCAACAAAGCGGTGGAACAGGCAAAATCAATCATTTCAGAATGTATAGTTTTTTTTATTATTCAAATGAAAACTATGACCGATTAGTAGCTCAGCCCTCTTAACAATCCATTTTCCTTTTCACTTCAGGATCCTTGACCTGCAGGAGAAAGGAGACCTTGACATACTAAAGCAGAAGTGGTGGCCGCGAAAAGGTCGCTGTGACCTGGACAAGCACGCGGAGCCCCTGCCAGAGGGCCGTGCCCTGAGACTGCACAGCTTCGCTGGGGTCTTCTGCATCCTAGCGGCAGGGCTGCTGCTGGCCTGCCTGGTGGCCGCTCTGGAGTCATGGTGGAATGGGCCACGCTGTCAGCGGGCACAGCCCAAAGAGGTGACCCCACAGGCGGCCAAACTACGGCCAACCCCTGCCCACCGCGCCCAGGACTGTACAGCCACTGCCACACTCTACTTTATGGATCCAGACGCCACTGACGCAAGTCCCGATTTAGTCGAGCTCCAGTACACCCAGCTATAGGTGTGACCATTAAGAACTTACTGCCTCCCATTTGCTGAAGTGTTGCCAAAGAGAAGGCAAGAGGGAAGGGTGAAGGGGGGAGGGAGTCACTCAAGAAAAGCACAAGATCACCTAAGAAAAAAAAAACAGATCAAATCTTTGATTATTAAAAAGGATAGTTCACCCAAAAATGAAAACCAGTCATCATTTACTCAATCTCACGTTGTTCCAAATCCGTATGAATTACTGTATGAAAGTATGAAAGAAGATATTTTGAAGAATGTTTAACGTCGACATGAAATGTAAATTCACCATTTCTATTTTTAAAATGGGTATTATTGATCGTATTTTTGGGGTGAATATTTATTTATTTATTTCAATTAGGACCTCTTAATTTTTAATCAAAATGTCATAAACTGATCTTCCAGCGAAACAACATTCTTCTCTCTGGTGACGAATGCCAGATTTTTCCAATCATTTAGTCTGCTGAAATGGCACCCCTACATGCTTGCATTCATCTGCCACTGTTTTGACTATAATATCTTAAAATCCAATCAACAACCAATTTATACATTTTTTTTCTTTGATAACCCGTTATACTCAAATGTACATCACAATTTGGAAAAAGTTCTACCACTACTTGTTTTGTGACTTTATGCTGTCAATATTATAAAAGTCAATGGAATCCAAAAATGCCATTTGTTCACAAACCAGTGAAGACTGGTTCATGTTTTCTATCAGAAAACATCTTCTGTAAGTTTTATTTTGCCATATTTTTAACAATGTCTTGCTACTTTTGTGTCCTTTTTGGAACTTGAAAGTTTTGGTACCCATTGGTTTTATAATGGCCACAAACAGCTAAAACATTCTTCTAAATGTCTTCTTTTGTGTTTCACAGAGGAAAGGAATTCATATGAGTTTGGAACCACAGAAAATTATGACAGAATTTTCTTTGTTTGGATGTACTATCCCTTTAAGTGGAGATGATAGCTTTTGTATTCAAACCCATTAGCTCTGTGTTATGGGCACCTACAAGTGTCGTTCCATTCATTAAATTGTTGTTTCCGAGTAGCTTTCTGCATACAAACATCCCCAATTTGCAATATCCGTCAATCATACTAGTTCTGCTGCTTCTGCTAGGTTGTTAGGGCAAAGGTTGTACCTGGATCCCTAAACTAAAGTGTGTGCAATGAGAAAGCCAGTGACGTATTGACTTATGTTCAAGTGTTCTGCAGTTACTCTTCCGTCCTTGTCTCCTCTCCTTCTCTCTTTTCCCTTTGGTGATATCTTGAGCCGAGGCAAGCACGTTGATGAGAGCAACAGCTCATAAACCACATATTATAGTTCAGGGACGTTGATTGTTGATAACGTAATATTAAATTTTACAGACATTGTTGAATAATAACGATCAGACGTCTGTATTATGACTACCATTTGTCATCTGCTTGAAATTTGACTGGATTTGAATTAATAGCACATAAAGAGATAAGAACTTTTACTAGCTTTCAGACTATATTGCTTTCACCAACCAACTCCTTGTTCTTGCTTTAAGGTGCTCAGTCTGCCATATGCCTGTACAATTTATGATTCTTTTATGTATGGTTTTGTTTGGTTTATGATACACTGTAAGAAGGGAGCCACTGGAGCTCTGGCAAGCAATAAGAACCACACGATAACCGACTTGACACATTTTATGTTTTATATCCCTGTCTGTGTCTTCTTATTGCAATTATATGCCAATGTCCAGGCAGTCACGGGTTCTCTATGGTCTCATACAGGACACTAAGGGCTGCACTCTGGAGATGGTGTCTGGGTCATTGGCATATAATGAAATTGCAACTGCTGCAGGATGCACACAGGACGTTTGGCCAGAGAGAGAAAGAGACTGGGAAGACACGCAGGCTTTTTACACAGGTCAGCCGAGACCTGAGCAAGGAATACCTGTCAGTGGGGTGAACAGGGCTTGACAATGTAGAGTCATTTAGAGGAAGGACAAGCGTCCTCCTGGAGTGGGTTAGGACTCCAGATCAATCAGATTATATATGTGGGTGGAGCGGTAATTATGACTCACTCATGCAAAGAGAACTAACTGATGACAGAGACCCAGGCAGAGTCAGAGACATTAATTCATCCATGTTGTGTGGATTAATAAATAACTTTCTGTTTAGAGTGATGATTTTACTCATGGAGTCTCTTTGCCAAAGCAGCACTATGTGTGCCTCTCCCACTGTGTGCCTCTCCATTTCGCTCCACATACTCATCAAATTCATCATCTGTTTGTCATCCATCAGATCACCCATTCAGTGGTCACACTGATGTCCCAAAATATTGCAATCTGGAATCCAAAAGGAGATTGGCCTCCAGTTGTGTTGTTTGTCACGGCTGTAAGTGCCCCAAATTGGGTGTATTTTAATGGCGAATTAATGCATTTTTAATTAGAGCCACATTCAGACTTTCTTCTACAGCTGCATGAGCTCTGCAGTAATTATCTCTTCATTGATCTTATGACTCAGAAACATAGTCTCATAATGTGACACTTCTAATTACCCATAAACGGTACAAAACCGTAGAATATACAGCTGATTCGCTGGTATCGACCGGGCTAGAGACGCAAGACCTCTGCAATTGAGTTAAAGGGCCAGTTCACCCAAAAGTGAAAATTCAGTCACTCACAAAAACACAAAAGAAGATATTTTAAAGCATGTTTTTGTCTGTATAATGAAAGCCAATGGGGTCCCAAGTCATCTTTTGTGTTCCACATGATACAGGTTTGAAACAACATGAGAGTGAGTAAATGACAGAATTTAATTTTGGGGTGAACTATTCCATTAAAATGGAAAGCATGCATTACTGAACTGGCTTGTACAAAACTGAGAAGAAGAACAGTGATTAACAGAGTAGTCGTGGATGTAACGGTTATCAGTGTTGAATGAATACTTCATAGTATCGAGGTCACCCTCCTCACTCTCTTATGGAGGATGCATGGCATGAGAATTAAATGACTGTGTGGGAAAAAATGTAAGCAGTTAGCGGACTGTTAATGTTGGCTTGATTCTTTCATTAAGTAGCACGCCACAGCATCACTGGTGCATGACCGAAGCTATTTCACGGCAGCGCATATCAAAGAATGAAGAAATACCCCTTTCAAGGCTCCTCCGAAATAAGCCCGAAACATTGAAGCTCCAAAGCATGTGTTTGCAATTCAATTTATGGCCCATGTTTCCCAGCGCTCACTCTCATTTGCATCATTGATTTCTTTCATTTCGCAACTTTTCGGATATGAAGCTTTTTTGGCAGTTCAGACCTTTTGCTTGCTGGAGTGGGTGGGAGAAGAGATGGATTTGATTTGATTTTTATGAGATTATTCCGTGCTGTCAGTAGTACGTTGTGTAATTGGTATCATTAATCAGAGCTGATGTGATTGTTGGAGCCCCTGGTAAACACCTTCTGCTCTTTTCTGAAAGATTGCACGCACTTCCACGTTCTTTTCATTCACATGTGTTCTTGCTCCAGTGCCCGTCCACTTTTCATTTCTCGCTTCTTCTTTCTTTCTTGCCTTTTTCCACCTCACAAATCAATTCCCGCCCTTTCATCTTTCCCCTCGCCTTGTACTCGGTCTCAATCGCCCCCTTTCTTTGTCATTCCCAGGACAAAGAGGTGAATCTGGAGCAGGTTCACCAGCGTATGAGTGGGCTGATGGAGGACGATCTGGCGCACAAGCAGCTGCCAGGTCAGTCTCTGGAGATCTCTGCCCTGGACATGGGCAGCATGCGGCCACATCAGAGCTCCCGGGAAGCCATGAGAGATTTCCCCCCTGGGGGCCTGTCCGTGACTTCCTTCCTCCAGGAGGGTCCTGGGGTCGGCCGCATGCCCGGACGGAGCCTCCCCCTCCCTCTCAGCAGTTCCACTCTGCCACCCTCCATGCGCTGCAAACACCGGGCGCCCAACGGAGGCCTTTTCCGCCAGAGCCCCATAAAGACACCTATGCCCATCTCTTACCAGGCAGTGCCCAGGGGACCCATCCCAGAAGCCATTGATCCAAGCCATGGGACCTCTATTTGAGCCGACCGGTCTGAGCGTTCTAAAGACTGTCAACCAGCCAATCACAAAAACCAGGTTTGGAACAGGTCTGGTTGCATTTATACAATTACATACATACAAACAGATATGGAGATCTCTCTTTTTTTTCAGTACAGATACATACGACTGTGAGACGCTGACTTTTCTTTGCCTGTACATATTTGTATATAACGAGAGACAGCAGTGAAGTCAAAGTGTATTTTGAATATTCATGATTTTTTTGAAGTTGAGTTTAAAAGAAGTAATTACTTACAATACAGACTGTTTGAATGGCTTTGTAAATTTTGTTCTAAAATAAAAATGAGAATTCCTTGTGGATGTTTTCTAAGTGCCACGTTTAAAGATTTTCATTTGAAGGAGAAGAGATGGGGAGAAAACAAGTGACAGAGAAACAATCTGTGAATCTTTTGATCACCTAATTTTTTGTTTAATATAAAAAGCTTTAAACAGAAATGAATCAAAGAAACTGCAGGTTTGTGGAGGCACCGCTCACGTAACGTTTGATCCCAGGGAACAAGGTTTTAGTAGCAGCTCTTCATCATATACTCTCAGTGTGTATGGAGGCTGAAGCTGTCTTAGTCTTTGACAGCCATGTGTACAAAATCATCTGTAGAACAGCATACAAAACACTCGCCTTTAATATCAAATACATTCTAAAAGAGACATATGTACATTATATGTACCTGAAATTCTGCATACTCATATGTAATGGCTACATTTGAGTCTTTTTAAAGTGTACTCTAAACAGAGAAAGAAATATAAACATATCAATATAGCAATGTTGCTTCTCTTTAGTAGAAAACTGAACAATATTAAAAATATTTCTTTATCCTGTTCCTGAAACCAGTAGTGATTTTAGCATGTTGGAGGAAAATCACCGTGGAGTTTGAGATTCTTTTGTTTATCAAATAAACTCTTTTGCATCAAATCCTTTATCCATTTAGTGTTTATTGGTATGATAATCTTTTTAAAAACTAAAATAAGGTTCAACTCACAATTAACTACATCTATTAATATAGGTTAATTTATAAATGCATGATTGCTAATGGTTACAATTTCAAGTTAATTTATAAAACTTTTAATGTTAAAAATGTATTACACTGTTTAAATGTTTGGGGTCTTTTTTTAAAGACAACTTACTCAGCAAGAATGCATTAAACTGATCAAAAGTGACAGTAAAGACATTATATAATGTTGCAAAAGATGTCTATTTAAAATTAATGCTGTTATTTTGAACTTTCTATTTATCAAAAAATCCTATTTAAAAAACAATCATAGTTTATGAAAAAAATAGCACAATGGTTTTTAACATTAATACTAAATGTTTCTCTTGAGCATCAAATCAGCATATTAGAATGACTCCAAAGACTGGAGTAATGGCTGTTGAAAATTCAACTTTGCCATGACAGGAATAAATTACATTTAAAAAATATATTGAAATTGAAAAATGTTATTTTATATTAGAATATTCCAGCCCTGGTGAGCATAAGAGACTTTCAAAAACATTAAACAATCTTACTGACCCCAAGCTTTTGAACAGTAGCGTATGTAGAAATTAGCATTAACCAAGAATTAATTCATGATACTCAATGTCTAATAGACAGGTTGATCGATAAAGACTGATATTTGTAATAGAGTGCAGTTCTTCACTGTCAATCAAACAAATGTTTTACCTGTTTCATTAAAACTATATATCCAGTATATTAAGGGGATAGTCATAAAAGATGAAGTGATTTCTTGCAGTGTTGTTCAGTGCCCCCAGGCTTCATCTTCAAAATAATGTTCCAGCTACCTCAAATACTAATAATGATCAACAACTGACATTCCCCTGCAGAGCAAATCAATGAATGCATTAATTATACAGTTTGTTTTCAGATAAACTCTACATGACTATTGATTTTCAGAATCCTCTTGGTGTGCACTTCATCAAAACCAAGTCTTCTTATTTTCACTAATGAACATAACCTCAAACAAAACATCGGCAATTCTGAACAGCAGTAATACTTTCGACCAGCTGGTTTATGCTCCTCACTTTGTCACTAAAGCGAACTATCAGATCACCGCAGGCCAGGGTTTACATTCAGTATGTTGCAGGGATAACACTTGCCAAATATCTCCAATGTCAAGCTGAATAAAAAGGTCACGGTAGTGCCCAGAGTCCTTAAGGCTACATGAACACACCGGATTTCAAGTGCTCAAGCCCTTGAGTTGTTTGTCAGGTGAACAGACTGGCAATGCCCTCCCTGTCCCTCCTGCCAGCTGTGTCAATAAGATCTAGGGCACCATGTGGATGACATGACTGACCCTGCAAGGGCAGAAGACATTAAAACATGTTGTCAAAAGTTACACACCTCAACACACATGCCAAACAATATAAATCTGCCTAGCAATGAGGTTGACTGTGTATACTAAGACAATTTTTTTAGAAGCCTTTAAAGATTTACTGTAACGTGGTTTCACTCACATATTTGTCCATGTCTGGGTGATCCTTTTCATCTTAGGCTTTTATTAAACCATAAAAAAGTTGTCAACTTCGGAGTCCTAGCACCCATGAAATGCTAAAAGCCCTGAACACAGACTGCAGACTACATTTTTATGCTATGCATAATTTGTGGGAAGATGCAGTTTCACAGCATGTTCTATAATGTTTGGCTCAACTTCAAGCTTAATAGGGTCTAAAAAGTCGAAACCTGTCATATTTACATTAAATGATCAAAAGGCCTCATCTGGCTGTCAATGCTAAAAGCATGCTAATATTGCAGCTCACTGCAGATCAATGTATTGATGTGAGCAACATGTGCAGCATTTGTGATGTGAACTGTAATGAACAGACTCTAAACAGATTTCACCATTCATTCAAGGCTTGTTTTACAAGTCTTGTGTTTTTTAAGGCTTGTTTATCAATCAATTACAAAGCATTTGGAATTCTATAAGGGATGCACCGATACTAAAATTCTCAGCCAATATCAATAGCCCATTATTTATAATGACATCTGATAATGACAATAGCCGATTATTTATACTGACATATACAGATAGTTTGTTTTTTTTTCAGGAAAAATCTCTCCCAACAAATGCACTGTACAGGGAACCCTTTCATTACATTAATGCTAGAGGTTATAATTAACAGAGTTTAAAAAAAAGCTTTTTAAAACTATTCATACAATATATATATCCAAAAATGAAAATTAGCCCATGAAGTACTCACCCTCAAGGCATCCTAGGTGTATATGACTTTCTTCTCTAAGACGAATCTAGTCGGAGTTATATTAAAATTTGTCTTTGTTCTTCCAAGCTGGTTAATGGCAGTCAGCAGGTGTTGCAGTTCATCAGTCCAAAATAAGTGAAATAAAGCGCATCCATCCATAATAAAAAAGTGCCTCACACGGCTGTGGGGGGTGAACAAAGGCCTCTTGTAGCGAATCGATGCATTTTTGTAAGAAAAATAACCATACCTGTCAACAATTGGGTCCTAAAATACAATTATTTAAACTGCGTGTATATCAAACTGAGTGTTTTCTGTGTAAAAATAAGGGTCGTTTTTGGCTTTGGACTAAAACAAAAAGCAGAAGGGCTTATTGAAAAATGCAAATTCATTCTCTCTTCATTCTTTCGCTTTTTGCCAGGAATATAGCCATTTCCCCGGTAACCACAGTAAACAAAGCAGCACAGCACCTGATTTTGCAACTTGCAGCGCTCATATTTAATCAATGAAACCATAGCCTTTTGAAGTGTAAGCTATATCTCAATTTGCATGTACATTTGTTTTGTTTTTTTCACCGGAGCACCACCTGAGTCTTCTCCTCCCATCCAATTTCTACCAGTGATCCTTTCCTTCCCGCGGTAGTCATCACTGGGGATGGGCAGATCGATCCTATATCTTAATGTGAGGGACAGAATTGTATTTACATTGTTAAATTTAAGTTTAAATCTTCCTTCTGCTGCAGCTGTCAGTCATTCTCCGCTCAGCATTCAAACAGCACATCACGTTCAGTTATGACAGTCAGTACAGTAAAACTCTCTCTCCAAGATGATATATTCCCATTATAATACTTGATGTGTAGTTAAAGGTCTGGGGATTCGCATAAAATGACATCTTGCTGGAGTTCATTGCTCTCTCACTTCTCTTCTCTTTGTTTGTACCGTGTGGAGTGACATCACTGTTGTAGGTTGCCAAGTTGAGGGGACAAATGGGTTGAAATCTGTATGTGTCGATTGTGTGAGAAGGATCTTCATACAAGATCTGACAACTGGGCAACCTTGGAATTTGTTGACGTGATTATTCATATAATGAGGTTTGGGCCATACAAATTATGGGAGATAATTAATAGATAACAAACATATAAAAAACCTCAAACAAAACATCGGCAATTCTGAACAGCAGTAATACTTTCGACCAGCTGGTTTATGCTCCTCACTTTGTCACTAAAGCGAACTATCAGATCACCGCAGGCCAGGGTTTACATTCAGTATGTTGCAGGGATAACACTTGCCAAATATCTCCAATGTCAAGCTGAATAAAAAGGTCACGGTAGTGCCCAGAGTCCTTAAGGCTACATGAACACACCGGATTTCAAGTGCTCAAGCCCTTGAGTTGTTTGTCAGGTGAACAGACTGGCAATGCCCTCCCTGTCCCTCCTGCCAGCTGTGTCAATAAGATCTAGGGCACCATGTGGATGACATGACTGACCCTGCAAGGGCAGAAGACATTAAAACATGTTGTCAAAAGTTACACACCTCAACACACATGCCAAACAATATAAATCTGCCTAGCAATGAGGTTGACTGTGTATACTAAGACAATTTTTTTAGAAGCCTTTAAAGATTTACTGTAACGTGGTTTCACTCACATATTTGTCCATGTCTGGGTGATCCTTTTCATCTTAGGCTTTTATTAAACCATAAAAAAGTTGTCAACTTCGGAGTCCTAGCACCCATGAAATGCTAAAAGCCCTGAACACAGACTGCAGACTACATTTTTATGCTATGCATAATTTGTGGGAAGATGCAGTTTCACAGCATGTTCTATAATGTTTGGCTCAACTTCAAGCTTAATAGGGTCTAAAAAGTCGAAACCTGTCATATTTACATTAAATGATCAAAAGGCCTCATCTGGCTGTCAATGCTAAAAGCATGCTAATATTGCAGCTCACTGCAGATCAATG